AGAGGCTTGGAAAACGGCTCGAGAGGCTGAACAAACTGCCTGGGCTTTGTGGTTTGGTTTTGTTTTTTTTTTTTTTTCCCCTTGACCCAAATCTTCCACTGTCCGTAAAGTCCCGTCTTGGCGTGGGAAGAGGCAGCGCTCTTGTGCTCTGACTTTGCAGCCCTCGCTGAGCAGTCGCTCGCGCGCCGGGCTGGCAAAGCGGGCACGCGGCCGGCGGTGTGCTGGCGCGCTGCGGGAGGAGGGGGTGGGAGCAGAGCTGTCTGTGCTTTCCCCAGGTGAACAGCGAGTCCAAAGCCAACATCACCTGCCTCGTCTACAGCCACGACGGCTCGGGTGAGTGACCGACCCGCTGCAGGGACCGGTGGGCGAGTGCACGGGTGGGCCGGGGCTGCGGCGTTGCGGGACGGAGCCGTCGGGGCGGGGGGGGGCGCTGGAGGCGCTGCCGGCTGGCCGAGCGCCCGAGGGGCTTGCGGCCCCGCAGAGGGACCACCCCCACGTGCTCCCTGCGAACGCCCGTCTCTTCGTCCTACGCCAGAGCTCTTGGCCAGCTACAACGACGAAGACATTTATCTCTTCAACTCCTCTCACAGCGATGGGGCGGAGTACATCAAGAGGTACAAGGGCCATCGCAATAATGCCACCGGTAAGGACCGGCGGGACGGCTGTTGGGGCAGACCGCCCCCCCGCAGGCGGGGGGCCCGGGGGCTCTGCCCAGGCCACTGTCCGACTCCCACCACCACCACGTCCCTTCCCCAGCTGCGAGCAGGGCTGAGGTCGCTGCCTGTACCCCGGGGGGGCCGGGGAGCGTGGCCTCCCCCTCCTCGCGCCTGCGGCCAGGCGGCGGGGCAGTCTGGAGGTGGGGGGCCGTCCCCAGAGCAACCCGGAAGAGTAATTGCCTGCTTTTAGCTTGTTTCTGCAGCTCCCAGTGTTTCTTCTTCCTCTCAAAGACCCTTAACACAAACTCTGGGGCTTGCAAAGAATGAGCTATTATGTGCCTGGGGACGGAAGAGATCCGCGCCGGTAACCCTGGAAACTCGCTGGCTGCCAGGCAGGAAGCGAATTCATGGCAGGGAGCGCTGCCCGGCTCCTGATGGCCTCGGGCTGCTTGTTTCTCTCCTTTCAGTGAAAGGCGTCAATTTTTATGGCCCGAAAAGCGAGTTTGTGGTGAGCGGCAGCGATTGCGGCCACATCTTCCTGTGGGAGAAATCGTCCTGCCAGATCGTGCAGTTCATGGAGGGCGACAAGGGCGGAGTGGTGAGTCCCCGCCGGCCAGCTGGGCTTCACCCCCCCCAGCTCCAGCCGGGCCCACGCGCCCGCACAAATTTCTGCCACTGTTTTCTGTGCGGTTTTGCCGTAATCAGAGCGGGGTCCCCCGCGGGCGGACCGTACCCCGTGCGTGGGGAGCTCCCGGGCCGGATCCCGGCGCCGGTCCCCGCGGGGCCGGCCCTGCGCCCGACTTCCCAGGCCCCGGCCGGCCGCGCTCAGGTCCCGAGCGGCCGCTGGCGGCGAGGAGGGGGGATCCGTGCCGGGGAGATGTCACCCCCCGCTCCTGGGTCACGGCGAGCAGAGGGGGGACAGGCTGGGGGTCGGCGCCGAGGGGCCGGGCGGCAGAGCCCCCCTCGCTCCCCGCTGCGCCGCTCCTCGCCGGGCCCACAGGCGCCCTTTGTCCGGGCGGCCGCAGCCCCGTGCCAGCTCCTGGCACTGCTGGCACCGCCACCCCCAGCCCGCGGGGCCACCGCGGGGCCGGATCCGGCCCGAGGGCCGACGGCCGAGGCTGGGCCTCAGCGCCCTGGGATGGATGCGGCCCCTCGCCTCTCGGCTTTGCTGCCGGGGTTGGCGTTCCCGCCTCGGGCTGTGTCCGTTGCCTCTCAGGGTGCAGCGGGCTTGGTGCCCCGTGAGTTATTCGGGGGCGCCCTGAATTTTGGGGTTTGCTTGTGAGGGGATGGCAGGTGTCCCCCCTGCTCCCGGAGCCAGAGTGTGGGGATGCCGGGGGTCCCAGGGGAAGCCCACCTCACCCAGCCCTACGAGGGCTCTCCCCGTCTGCCCTCCCGTCACCGTGTGAGACCCTGACCCGAGGCCAGGGTGACAGGCTGGAGGGCCACCGCGCAGCTTGCTGGTGCCAGGGTCGGTCCCAGTGCCCTGTTTGGGGTGTCACACGCCCCCCCCCCCCCCCATCTCCTTGCCCCCCAGGTGAACTGCCTGGAGCCCCATCCCCACCTCCCCGTCCTGGCCACCAGCGGCCTCGACCACGACGTCAAGATCTGGGCGCCCACGGCAGAGAATCCCACCGAGCTGGCCGGGCTCAAGGAGGTGAGGCCAGAGAGCAAGGGGGGGTGTGTGTGGGGGGGTGTCCCCAGCCCTGCACCCCCCTGACCTGCCCCCCCACAGGTGATCAAGAAGAACAAGCTGGAGCGGGACGAGGACAGCCTCCACCACACCGACATGTTCGACAGCCACATGCTCTGGTTCCTCATGCACCACCTGCGACAGAGACGCCATCACCGGGTAGGTCCCCTCTGTGTGTGTGTGTGTCCCCCCACCTTTGCTGCTCCCCCAGCCCCTTCACCCCCTTTCTCTGCCCCCCCCCCCCCCCCCCCCGGCAGCGCCGAAGAGAGCCGGGAGCGCCGGACGGCGACTCGGATGAGTCTCCCAGCTCCTCCGACACCTCGGACGACGAGGAAGAGGGGCCGGACCGGGTGCAGTGCATGCCATCGTGAGCCCCCCCCAGCCCCCTGGCCGGGGCGGGGGGGCTCCGGGCACGCATCACCCCTACTAACACTTTGAGCTTTGTATTGACTTGTTAAGGACCCCCCTACCCCTCCCGCCCCCTTTCCTCCCTCCTCATCCTCGCAGCCCCCCCCCACCCCCAGACCACTGCAGGCAGCGCAGCCTTGGCCCGGGGGTCCCTTCCCTCCCCAGGACCCACGCAGCGATGGGGCGGGGCTGGGGGGATTTTTGTACTAACGTGGCCCCCTGGTCTCCCCCCTCCCGCTTTTCTGGGGGGGGACCCAGCCCCCGGCGCCAGCCCTTGCGTTCTTCAGGGCTCCCCCTTCTTCCCTGGGGGCTCCGGCCCCCCCAGGGGGGGCTGCAGCCCCTTCTCCTCACCCCCCCTTCCCCCCCCCCCCCGGGGGTGTTTGCAGAGAGATGCTTGTCTAGTTTGTACATATCAGTGATTTGCACTTGGTTTGGCCCTTCTGCGCCCCCCCCCGACCCCCCCGGGGCAGCGGCCGGAGCCCCCAGGAGCCGGGAAGGTCCTTTAATTTTCTGTTACTTTTAAGGAGATCTCTGGGGGGGAGCGGCGGCGAGGGCTCCCCATCACTGTTAGAGGCCTAATTTTATATGTATTAAAACCAAATCGAACTTGGATGTTATCAAGTTAAAATTATTGTAAAAGTTTGAATATATATTATATATAAATGCAATAAAAACCAACAGAGAGAGGCAGAGGGCTGCGTGTCCCCGTCCCTGGGCTCCCCGCGTCCCTGAGCCTGACCCCAGGGCCAGCATGGCCCCACACCCCCCCTTCCCCAGGGGTGTGTTTTGCCCCTTTTTGCCGTGTTTTCACCCAAACACACCCCCCCTTCACAGAGCCACGCGACCCTCCAGAGCAGCTTTCATCTCCGTCTGTTTATGAGAGATCTGTACACAGTCAGCACGGTCGGGGGGGGGGGAGTGGGGAGGTTGGAGGGAGCAGGGAGGGTCCCCCCCCAGGGGCTGGGGGACACAGCTGTGTCACCCGTCCCCATTTCTGCCCCCCCAGGATCTCACGGGGGGGGTGGGGTGGTGTCCCAAACAGTCATTTTGCAACAAAAGACACAGTTTTTTTGGGGAAGATTAATGTGGTCCCTGTCCTGGAGACAATAAATAGAGGGGGGGGACACACGGAGGGGGACACACAAGAGCTGGCGGCTGCACACAGGCGCTCTGTGGGTTTTAGCTTTTATTAAATAAAATATATTAACATATACTCTCTCCAGTGCCCCCCCTCGCTAGAGGCCCCCCCCCCCGGTTAGTAGCTAGAGCTGAACCCCAAAGACACACTCACACTCCCCCCTGCCCCCCCCCCCAACGGGGGCTGTGCCTGTTTTCCCGGTCCAGGGCTCCTTCCCTCCCAGTATGACACTGGGGGGGCTGGAAGGGTAGTTCTGCTTCCCCCCCCTCCCCCAATCAGCCTGGCTGGTTTGGGGGTGCTGCCAGTTCTTCTACCCCCAACTACACTGGGGGTTTGGGGGGGTCCTTCCAGGGAAGATTTCCCCAATGCCTGGGAAGGGTCTGTGGCGTTGGGGGGTTTGGGGTCCCCCCCGCCTTGAACACTGCCCTGCACAGGGGCTCCCACTGCCTCGCCCCCCTCCCCCCTGCCATGTCACCTCCTCATCCCCCCACCCACTGCAGCCCCTGGGGGGGGACACATACTGCAAATGTGCCCCCCCTCCTCGTGGGGCTGAGGCCTGACAAACCCACACCATCCTCCAGCCTGCCTGGGGGGGGGGTCAGCAAAACACCCCCCCCCAGCTCAGCCCTACTGCTCGCCTCCGTCCCGACGTGCCCCGTCCTTCATCCCTGCGCCCCCCCTCGTGCCACTCGCTCGGGTCCCTGTCCCCCAGCCCTGTCCCTGCCCCGTGATGGGGTACAGGGGTGCTCCCACTGCCTTTCGCCCCCCCAGACACAACCTGGACTGGGGGGGGGGGGGGGGGGTCCCTGTTCCTGCTGTCCCCCCTCCCACTGAGGGCTTGTGGGGGGGGGGGCCCTGGGAATAGCAAAGCTCCCCCCCCCAAACACACGCACACCCACACGTGCACACCCACGCACACGCACACGCAGAGCCGCCCCGGCCCCCGGCCCCGACATGGAGGGGGGGGCGTTAAGACTTTGTTAGTGACCGTGCTGGCCCCCCCTGCCTGCCCGCGCCCCGGGGCCAGAGAGGTGGCAGGGGGACACGGGGTGGGGGGGGGCCACAGCCTTACTCCTCCTCCTCCTCCTCCTCCCTCCTCCTCCTCCTCCTCCTCCTCCTCCTCCTCCTCCTCCTCCTCCTCCTCGCCCCCCCCTCAGGCTTTCTTGGGCGGGGGGGCCAGTTTGATGATCTCCTCTTCTGAGGGCTGCCGGATGATGTCTGCTGAGACACGGGGGGGTCAGTGGGGGGGTCCCCCTAAGCAGAAGGACCCTGTCCCTGCCCTGGGGTCTAGTGTGGGGGGCATCCCTCTCGGGGGGGCGGGGGGGCACTCACCCTTGTACTTCTTGGCGCTGGGGATGCGCGTGAGCTTGGTGTCCACCTCGTCCTCCTCGGAGATCTTGAGGACCTGGGTGCGGTACTGCACCACCATGGTCAGCAGGTCGGGGCGGCGCGAGATCTCGAAGATGTGCTCGATGTAGGACAGGTTGTCTGCAGGGACGGGGACGTGGCTGGGCCACCCCCGCCCCATGGCGAAGGGTGCCCGAGGACAGGGAGCGAGGTGGGGGACACAGAGGGGGGGTGACAGGGGGAGGGCAGGGGCCGGGGTGGGGATGGGGACGGGGATGACAATGTCGGGGACGGGAAGAGGGGACAAAGGACAGCAACGAGGGCTGGGATGGGGAGCAGAGGATGCGACAGGGACCAGGGCGGGGAGGGGGGACAGGGGACAGGGGGGGGGGACAGGGACAGGGGGCGGGAGCAGGGCTGGCAGCAGGTGACAGCGATGAGGAGCAGGGCTGGGGACTGGAACCAGGAGAGGGGGCAGGGACAGGGATGGGGACCACAGGGGACAGGGACCAGTACGAGGGACCAGGATGGGGACCAGGACAGGGAAAAGGGGACGGTGAGGGCTGGGGGGGGGTCACGGACTGGAACGGGGATCGGGAGAGGGGACGGGGATGGGACCAGACCACCGGGGCCAGGAGAGGGGATGGGGACTGGGACAGGGGCCAGGGAGCAGGATGGGGACCACGAAAATTGCCGCTGGAGCAGGATGGGGACCAGCCCAGGGGACAGAGCCCAGGGGAGGGGCGGGGGGGGTCTCACCCCTGTCCAGTTTGCTGTGCTTCTCCAGGAAGGCGAACCAGTGGTGGCTGGTGGCGATGGCCTCGCTCTCCTCGCTGGGGATGTCCTCCTTGCAGGCCGACTTCAGCTGCTCCAGGTCCTCGGCCGTGATGTTCTGGGCCAGCTCCTCCAGCAAGCTGCGGTACTCGGCCATGGCTGGGCACCACCCGCGTCACGAGCTGCCCGGCCTCAGCCGCCGCAGCGCCCCCCCGGCCCCAGCTGCCCCCCCCAGAGCCACGGCGTCCGCCGAGCTCCGCTGGCCCGTGACTCATGTGATGCTCAGGGGATGTGACAGGGACGGGGCGGGGGGGACGGCGGGACCCGCCGGGTGCTGCTGGAAGCTGCTCTGCTGCCTGTGACCCCCCCCGTAACCCTCCCCCGGTGCGAGGGGAGCCTCGCACACACCCCCCGGTCCCCCCCAGCTTTACACTTGCACAGACCCCCCCCCCCCACATGGTGTGACACCCCCCAGCACCGCACAGCCCTCCCCGCCCCCCCCCCCCCCAGTTGGCTCTGGGCACCCTGGGTTGGGGGGCGCCGAGTGGGGGCCACCCCGAGCCCCAGCGTCAGGCCCGGGTGGGTGGGGGGGGTCGGGGCTGGGGTGTGGGGGGGGTCACACTCTGTCCCCCATCTCCTGTTGCGCCTCGGTTGCCATGGTGACCACTGCCACCCACCCTGGGGATGCGGTTGCCGTGGTGATGGCAGCACCCGCCCGCCCCGTGGGTGCTGAGAGTGGGGGGGGGGAGGGTGGGGACACGACGACCTGGCCACCCCACGCGGGCCACACAGACACGGGGGAGGCGGGGGGGAACACAGACACACGGACACAGACGCGCCGCTACCCACCGCGCTGCTCACCCCCATCGGCACGTGCACGCATGCGCACCCCCCCAATGCACACACACACACCCCCCACGCACACGCGTGCCTACACCCGTAAACACACCCACCCCCCACCCCCCCACGCAGACACCCGCACACACAGACACCCACCCACGCCCCGCACCCGCGTGCACACGTGCGCACAGGCGTGCTCCGACGCTCACGCACACGCGTGCCCCCCCCTCCCCCCGCGCACACGCGTGTCCCAGCCCTGTCCGGCCCCTTTAAGGCAGCCGATGACTCAGCCCTTGGCCCGGACGCGCGGGTCCTTCCGGGCGGGGGGGTGGGGGTGGGGACCCCCCCCCCGCCGGGGCCCTCCGCCCCTTCCCAGCCCCGGCGGGTCCGGCCCGGATCCCCCCGCACCCCCCGGCGGGGGAAGGGGGGGGAGGGGATGCTCAGGACCACCCCCCCCCGCGGGACCCCCCCCATTCGCTCTTCCCATGCAAAGCACCTCATGAATATGCACGAGGGGCGTGGTCCCACGGGGGGCCATTCAAAGGGGGGGGCTGGGGGGGGCGCCTAACTCCGCTGCCGCGAGGGGGGGCCAGGACACGGCGGGGGGGGGGGGGGGGGCAGGACACGGGTGGGCCGGTTCCTTCCCGCCTTTGTCTCCCCCGCTCCGGCCAGGTGCCGGGGGGGGAGGGGAGGGGGGCTCCTCCAATCACTGCGTGTCCCCCCCCGTGATTTTGGGGTGTGTGGCGATGGCGGGACCGCAAGGAGGGGCCCCCCCGCGCCCCCCCCCGCAGCCCAGGGGACAAGGGGCCTTTGTGCCGCGGGAGCAGCGCAGCGCCGGCCCGACCCCACCGGGAAACCGGCCCGGCCCCACGGACACGGCCCCGTGGGCATCCTGCTGCTGCGTGGGCACCCCCGTGCCCCACGGGCATCGTCCTGCCCCACGGCCACCGCCCCGAGCCACGGGCATCGACCTGCCGCGTGGGCACCGGCACCATCGGGGGTCGGGGGGGGGGTCCCCACCCGTGTCCCGGGGTGTCCCGCCCCTCCGATGACCCGAGCAGCATCCCCGGTACCGCACATCCCACATCTGGGGCACATCTGGGTGCGCCCCCCCGCCCCCCGCCGCCGCCGCCCCGCCCCGTGCCAGTTTCCCCCCGCGGGGCCGCGCGGAAGCTCCGTGGGGCGAAGCACGGAGGGGGATGTGGGGGCGATGAGTCGTGGCCCCCCCAGCCCTCCCCGTCCCGGCGCCCGGGGCGGAAGAGGCGGCTCCGCTGCCACCACGGCCCAGTTTGGCCCCAGTTGGGCCCAGCCCGACCCTGGGGCGCGTGACCTCCTCATGCTCCCCTTCCCACTCGTGTTTCTCAGGAGTCCGGTTGCGCGCACCTCCCCCTAACCCCTCCGGCACCCACCCGCGGGGGGGGTGGGGGCACACCCTGCCCCGGAGGAATGGGTGGCATCCCGGTGCTCCGCTGGTACTGGGCGGCAGTGGGAGGGCTGGGTGGCACCGTGGGGACGGAGCACGGGGAGGGGGGACCCCGTGTCCCGCAGGGACCGGGTGGCAGCCGGGGGGGGGGGTGGGGGACACGCCTGGTCTCGGGTGGGGAAAGGGGGGGACACCCCATGGCACCGCGGGGAGCGGGTGGGGACGGTCACCGGGACCGAGTGGGGATGGTGGACCCCGCGTCCCGCGTGGGGGGCCGGGTGGCCCTGCGTGGACCGGCGCGACCGCCCCCCCCACCCCCCACTCCCTCCCCGCGGGTCACGGGTTCGGGCCCCCCACGGCAGCGAAAGGGGAAGTGAAAGGGGCACCGGCGGCGGCGCCGGGGGGGGGGGGGGGGGGCACCAGTGTTGGGGGGGGTGGGGGGGTCCTCGCAGTCCCGGTAACACCGGGGCCGTTAACCCCTTCCTAACCACGGCCGCGGCGGGGCATCAACGGGGGAGGCACTGCCCTTTACCGGGGGGGGATGGACTACCGGGAAGGGGGAGCCTACTACCGGGGGGGGGGGGGGGGGGGCTATTACCGCGGTCCCCGCCCGGCTGAGGGAACCGGGAGCGGCACCGGGAGCGGATGGAGGCGGTGGCCGCAGCCCCCATCCGGTGCCGGTGCCGGTGCCGGTGCCGGCGGGGGGAGCCCCCGGTGCCCGCGCAGCCCCGCACTTACCGGCCGGCTGGGGCGGTGCCGGTGGCGGTGGCGGTGCCGGTGCGGCCGCTCGGTCTCTCGGTGCTGCCGCTCTGAGCAGCGGGGCGGGGCGCGGGAGAGGGCGGCGCTTAGCGGGGCGGGGCCGCGTGGGCGGGGCTTGGCGGGGCGGGGCGGCCCGAGGAACCGTCCCGCCCAACGGGGAGCGGGCGTGGGGGGGGGGGGAGCTGGCGCGGACGCCCGTGGGGAAGGATCCTCGCTGTGTCCTACATCTCTTCGGAGTCCCCCATTTCCCCCCCCCCCCCGGGACCCCCGGTCACCACCTCAGGACAGAACCACACCGGGGGGACACCCACGAGTGTCTGAGTCCCCCGTGGGTGTCACCGTCCCCCCAGGAAGCTCCAGGGAAAGTCCCCCCGGGGATCTCGCATCTCCACGCCCACCTCCTGCAACACAAACTGGTTTTTTTGGGGACTTTAATGGCCGGCGCGGGGATGGGGCTCAGCACAAGGCCTAGTCGTCATCATCATCGTCATCGTCATCATCATCATCATCATCGTCGTCGTCGTCCTCGGTGTTGATGTCTCCCGCCAGCACGTCCTCGATCCACTCCTGCAGCTCGGCCGGGCCGGGCAGCTCGTCCTCGTCCGCCACCTCCAGCCCCACGCTGTCGGCCTGGGGACACGGTGGGGGGACACGACACGAGGGGATGGGGGGGGCACACCCACTGTGGGACCCCCCCCCCGGGAGGGCAGGACAGGCTGGGACCCCTACACGCAGGGGCTGCCTTTGAGGTCCAGTCGTGTGATGAGCCTGTCAGGACTCAGCTCCCAGGGAGGGGGCAGGGGGGGCCACACCGGGGGTCCCGTGGAGGGGAGACACGCACACTCACGTCGGTGACGTTGACCACCCCGACCTGGGGCCGGGACAGGTCGATGTTGAAGGTTTTCTCCCAGTAAGGGATGAGCTGGGGGGGGGAGCGGGGCGCAGAGATCAGCCCCCCCCTCCTCCAGCCCGCCCTGCAGCACCAAGGAGGGAGTGGGGGCCGTGGTGGGGTGACCCCCCCGGGGGGGCTGGTACCAGTGGGAAACCCTCGGGGTCGATCCAGGGGATGCTGAGGTCGGGGTCATCTGTCTTATCCCGGGCCACGTCCTTCAGGGTCTCCAGGAACTCGAATCCATCTGGGGGGGGACAGGGCTGAGGGGCACTTGGACCCCCCCAAGTCCCGGCGACCCCCCCCCAGCTCCCCCAGTCCCCCCCTCACCTGGATCATCCTCCTCTGCGAAGGCCACGATGTGGATCCCCTCCATGTCATCCTCCTGGGGGGACACGGGCCAGTGTCACCAGTTGGGGGGGCACCCCAGTGGGGGGGGGGGGGTGTCTCCCGGAAGGGGTGGGGGTGTCGAGGTGAGGGGTCAGATCCCCCACATCTCTCTTCCCCCCCCCAACTCACCCAGGTCTCGTACATGCTCTCTGCTTTGAGCTTCCGCAGAGTGGCCCTGGGAAATGGGGGGGGGGGCGGTTAGGGGCACCCCCAAATCCCTACCCCCACCCCGGGCTCTGCTGTGTAGCTGGGAGGGCTGCTCAAGTAGGGGTGCAGCAGCTGGGGGGGGGGCAGGACAGCCAGGCTGGCTCTGGGGGGGCTGGGGGGGTGCACAGGGCTGGGGCTGAGCCCCCCGACACCACTGGCACCTCGGTGGGGGCCGTGGAGCGTTGCCCCATCTCCTGTGGAATTGAGGCCACGGCGGGGGGGGCAGATTGATCCGGGGGGGGATTAAGGCTGCAGGAACATCCCGGCAGCACCTGGGCCTTAACCCTGCCCTGCCCACCCTGGCAGGACCCCCAGCCTGGGGGGGGCTCGGCTGCCCCATGGCCCACCGACATTCCCCCCCATTGCCTGCTGAGGCCTCTCAAACTCGTGTCACCCCAGGGGCTGCAGCCAACAAAGGGGTATTTGGGGGGGGGGAGGGCTGCCAGAGCAGGGGGAGGGGAGTGCGCAGCTCCCCCCCCCCCGGCCCCGGGAATCCCCTGACCCAGAGGCTGCGGCTGCCCCGGCAACCACCTCCCCATGGCAACCCATCCTAATGGCAACCTGTCCCCATGACAACCACCTCCCCATGGCAACATGTCCCCATGGCAACCATCTCCCCATGGCAACCTGTCCCCATGGCAACCACTTCCCTATGCCAGCTGCTTCTCCATGGCAACCGCCTCCCCATGGCAACCACCTCCCATGGCAACTGCTTCTCCATGGCAACCACCTCCCATGGCAACCACCTCCCCATGGCAACAACCTCCCGTGACAACTGCTTCTCCATGGCAACCACCCTCCGTGGCACCCCGGTCCCCCAGCCCCCCGAGGGCGGCCGGGCGCCCACTGCCTGTGCTCCCCCACGAAGGCCACGAGCTCGTCCTTGCCGTGGGGCTGGCCGGGGACGCTCAGCGCCTCCTCCATGAAGGGCTCGTAGAAGTCGACCTCGTTCAGCTTCAGGGTGAGGTTCCTGGCACCTGGGGAGCGGGGGGCCCTGAGCCACCCCTGGGTGCTGGCGGCAGGTGGCCCCGCCCCCCGGGACCCTCGCCCCTACCCTGCTGTCGAAGGTGGCGAAGAAGGGGATTTAGGGGTGAAACTCCTCCGCCGCTTCCTCGAAGGCCTTGAAATCTGGGGGAGCAGGGAGGGGTCCTGGCGCTGGCACTGGGTACCGGCACAGGATACCGGCACCGGGTACCGGCACCGGGTACCGGCACTGGGTACCGGCACCGGGTACTGGCACTGGGTACCCGCACTGGGTACTGGCACTGGGTACCAGCACAGGATACCGGCACCAGGTACCAGCACCGGGTACCGGCACTGGGAACTGGCACTGGGTACCGTCACTGGGTACCCACACCGGGCACCCGCACTGGGTACTGGCATTGGGTACCGGCACTGGGAACCGGCACCGGGTACCGGCACTGGGTACCGGCACTGGGTACCGGCACCGGGTACCCGCACTGGGTACTGGCACTGGGTACCGGCACCGGGTACCGGCACCGGGTACCGGCACCGGGTACCCGCACTGGGTACCGGCACTGGGTACCGGCACTGGGTACCCGCACTGGGTACTGGCACTGGGTACCAGCACAGGATACCGGCACCAGGTACCAGCACCGGGTACCGGCACTGGGAACTGGCACTGGGTACCGTCACTGGGTACCCACACCGGGCACCCGCACTGGGTACTGGCACCGGGTACCGGCACTGGGTACCCACACCAGGTACCCGCACTGGGTACCGGCACTGGGAACCGGCACCGGGTACCCGCACTGGGTACTGGCACTGGGAACCGGCACTGGGTACCCGCACCGGGTACCGGCACTGGGTACCCGCACTGGGTACCGGCACTGGGTACCGGCACCCGGTACCGGCCCCACAGCCCCTCACCGGCCCCCCCAGCCCAGTTCCATCCTGGCGGCTCTGGCTCCAGAAGGGACCCCCCAGCCCCACAGTCCCGAACATGGCTGGGGTGGTCTGGGTCAGTCCCTGTGCCCTCGTGGAGGGACAGACAGACGGACACAGGGAGGGAGGGACACAGGGAGGGAGGGACAGATGGACCCAGGGATGGACGGATGGACACAGGGATGGATAAACAGACGGTTGGGAGAATGCTTTGGGGGCTGGCACGGGGGCTGTGTTTGGGGAGCCAGGAGGGATGGGGGGGACACAGGGAACACACAGGGGGACACGAGGGGACAGATGGGGACTTGGGGGGCCACAGAGGGGGCCACAGGGGGCAGAGGGACACACAGGGGGTGGGGGATCCCTGTACCTGGTGGGGAGGGGATGCAGGGGGGACATGTGCCAGGCAGGGCGATCTGGGGGGGGCGCTGTGCCTGCGGGGGCCCAGCAGGGTGGGGTAGGGGTGGGGGCTGCACCCTTACCCAGCTTCTTGGCCACGGCCGCATCCTTCTCGGAGCTGATGAGGCCAAAGCCCACTCCCCTGTCCTCCGGCACCTGGGCTGCCAGCGGGGGGGACACCACACGGGGGGGCACTGCCACCGGCCCTGTCCCCTCTCCCCTGAGAAGGGCCCCCCAGAGTCCCCGGCCCGGCTACTCCATCCCCCCGCCCACACCGGGGGTCCTGGCTGGTGCCGGCTCATGGGGACGGGTCCCCCCGGCAGCCGGTGTCCCCTCAGCTGGTGACACTGGCAGCGGGCTGGGCTCTGTTCTGGGGGTGAGGGGCCCCCCCGGCCCAAGTATGGAGCGGGCAAAGACAGGTAGGGGTGTCCCCAGCCCTGTCACGCCCAGCTCCTATCCCCTCCCAGTGAGCCCATCCTGCCCCCGGCCGGCCCCTGTGGACCCCCCCCCACCCTGGGTGCTGCTGTCTGTCCCTCCCCAGTGTCCCCTGGTCCCTACAGTGTCCCCAGTGCCACACGGGTGCTGGTGCCCCAGCGTCAATGTGTGTCCCACCAGCATCCCCCCGTCCCCACCAGCGTCCCCAGTGCCACAGGGGTGCAGTCACCCCCCCCGTCAGCGTCCCCTGGTCCCCACCAGTGTCCCCGATGCCGGGGGGGGGGGGTGCGTGTCCCGGACCCACCTCCAGGACCGGTTCCTCCGTCTCGTGGTGGCGCTGAGGCCGCCCGGTCGCCCTGGCCGGGGGGTGGGGGAGCAGGGCCGGCACCGGGAACCGCTTCAGCCCCACCCGGTAGTTCTTCGGGGTGACGGGTGACACCCGGTCCAGCCCCGAGCCCCCCGGGGACCCCGGCCCCCGGCACCAGCAGCGACAGCACCCACCCCCAGACCCCCAGCACCAGCTGGATGGACCCATGGACGAGGACAGATCCACGGACAGGGACAGACACACAGATAGAGGGTGCCCAGGCAGACAGGCAGGCAGGGACAGACAGGCGGACAGACGGGGATGGGACTCACAGAGGGATGGAGACGGACAGACGGACAGACAGGGATGGGACTCACAGACAATCAGGGGTGGACACACAGCCAGGGAACGGAGACACAGCCCTGGGGACAGACAGACAGACAGCTCCTGGGCTGGACAACAGCAGGATGGGGATAGACACGCCTTCAGGGACAGACAGACAGTGCCTTCACGTCCAGGGGTGGACAGACAGACACAGCCCAGCTGGGACCAATAGCCCCAGCACAGGGGATGGACACACAGCCCCTGCCTGGCCCCGGGGGGGACGGACAGACACAGCCCCCGGGGGGGGACACGGCGAGACACGGCCCCTTCCGGCCCTGACAGGAGGGGACAGACGGACACACGGCCCCTCCCCAGCCCCAAGGTGTCCGAAGGCACAAAGAGGGGGGACAGTGGCACCCTGCCCCCCCCCCGCACCCCTGAATCCCTCCCCCCCATCACAGTGGGGTCTCAGGGCCCCGGGGGGGGCCGGCGCCGGCGGGGGGGGGCTCAGCCTGTCCCCTCGTGTCCCCCCCCCGCCCCGGCCCCGCTCCAGCTCCATATTAAGCAAGGAAAGAGGAGCCGGCGGGAGGGAGCCGGGGGGGGCCGGGGGCTAAAAATAAGGAGCTGAGCCTGGGGTCACCTGCGTCGCGCCCCGGGGACGGGGGGGCCCTGGGGTCTGGGCCCCAGGGGGTGCGGGGGACCCCTCGGTGGCCGTTCCCCACCCCAGCCTCGGGGTCCCTGGGGCACAGGTACCCCCGTGAGGGTCTGGGTGCCCCCCTCCCACCCTGCCCCTCCAAGCACCCCCACCCCCAGATGGGACCCAGCTCTGGGTTGGGGTTGACGGGGACCCCCACAGCCCTGTGCGGGAGGGGGGGACGCGGCATTTCGTCACCCCCATCTCCCCCTCAGATTGAGCGACCACCCGCTCTGCTGACCCAAGCTGGGGGGGGGGGCAAACCCCTCTGTGGACACCCCCAGGGATGGGGAGGGGGCTTCTTCCCCCAAGCCAAGACACCGTGGGAGCCAGGACCCCCCGCTCTCAGGGAGGTGGGTTGCCCGGGACCCCCTTGCCAAGGGCCGTGGGTACCAGGGAGGCGGGAATTGGGGTGCCCTGGACCCCCATGCTGGCCTTATAGTGTGCCTGGGGCCCTCACACACGGGTGCCAGAGGGTGCAGGGGGGGGGTCCCTGCCCCCCCCCGCCAAGCCCCCCTCATCCCCACCGCGGTTCCGGGTGACCCCGACTCGGATCCTTGTTTTTAATCCCGGGTGACACCAAAACCCCGTTGGTGAAACCCGAGCGGGGCCGGACCCCGAGCCCTCCCCGAGCCCCCCCTGCCGCGCTGCTGACTCAGCAGAGCAGGGACACCCCCAGCCCCCCCACGGTACGGGGACCCGGGTGTCCGGATGGGTGTGGGGTGTGCCGGGGCCTTGCGTGACATGGGGGGGGGCATGGGGAGGTGTGGGGGGGGCATTGCCCCCCCCAACACATGTGCGCACACGTGTTGCACGCTCACACATGTGCCCCGTGAGGCTCCGGCAGGTCACCCTGTAGTAAGGGGGGGGGGGTCCCTAGGGTGCTGGGGGGGGCCGTGGGGGGGCAGCAGGTTATTGATACCCCCCCCTTCTCCCCACCCTCCATGTCCCCCATGACCCCCCCAGCACAGACGAGGGTATGAAAGAGTTAAATTGTTTTATTGCTCTGAAAGTGTGTGGGGGGGTCTGGGTGCCTCATGGGGGGGGCAGAGGGTGCCCCCCCCCGCACTCCTGGGTACCCCCAGGCCAGGGGGTCCCAACCCCCCCCACTGTACCCAGCAGCGCCAGCCCCCGGGGTTAGTATGGGGGTGCAGGGTCGGGGTGAGCGGGGGGCCGGGGGGGCCCACACAGGCACCTAGTAGTAGGTCTCCTTCTCCACCCAGCCTGCGAGGGGACAGGCGTCGGGGGGGGGCAAGATGGGGGGTGCCCCCACCCCCTGGGGGCGCCCCAGCCCCCCGGGTGCCCCCCACCTCTCCTGGGTTTCCCCTTCTCCCATGGGGACTCCCCACTTCCCTGTGTCCCCCCCCAACCACCCTGGGTGCTCCCCATGCTTCTCGCGTGCCCCTCCACCACCACCCACTTCCCCGGGTCACCCCCCAGCCCCTGTGGGTGCCCCCCACCCACCCTGGGTATCCCCTAAGCCCTCCTCCCCCCGCGCCCCCCACTCCTTTGGGTGCAGGTGCCAGCCCTGAGGGGGGCTTTGAGGGCAGCAGCTGGTTTGAAGGGGCAGTGGGGGCGGCAGGGGAGCAAGATGGGGGGGCTCAAGGGGCTGGGCCAGGCGTGGGGGGGGGCAGTGGCCACTTTGGGAAAGGGCAGTGGTGACTTTGGGGGTGTCAAAAAGGAAGGATTTGGGGGGCAGAATCCATAGTAGGGGGGGGTTGGGGGGGGCTGTACCCCCAAATGGGGGGGAGAGCAATGCCCACCCTAGGGGGAAATACCCACGAGGGGGTTTGGGGGGGGTCACGCTGGCGGAGGGGGGGGGGGTCTCACCTCCGGGGTAGCGGCGCAGGATGAGCTTGCGCACCTCGTCGTAGGCGAAGATGAGGAGGCTGTAGGGGAAGGCGCAGAACCACCAGGTGACCCTGGGGGGGGGGGGGGGGGGGGGGGCAGAGAGCGTTAATAGGGGGGCACCCATGGGTGTGGGGGGTGGTCAGGGCCGGGGCGCCCCCCCCCCCCAACTCACTTGAGGGGGTACATGCGCAGGGCCACCCCCATGCCGGGGCAGTAGGACAGGAACGCCGCCAGCGCCGTCTCCTCCAGCAGCCCGAAGATCAGGATCTTGTTCCTGTGGGGGAGCAGCGGGGGTGCAAGGCACGGGGGGGGCACCCATGGGTGCTGGGGAGGGGTCGGGGTTCGGGGGGGGGGGGCGGCACCCACTTCATGCCCTGCTGGAAGACGGAGTTGCGGCGGGTCTTGCAGATGATGAGGTCGGCCCACTGCACCACCACGATGCTGGCGAAGAAGGCCGTGTGGCACGTGAACTCCACCACCTTGCGCTGCTCGTAGGTCTGGGGGGGGCGGGGGGGGCACGGCCTCAGCGCACACGCGTGTGCCCCCCCCCAGCCCCTGTGACCTGCACCTCCCCCCCCCCGCCTACCCCCACCTCGCACGCTCGCGCACGAGGATGCACCGTGCGGGGGGGGGCAGGGGCACAAGCGAGTGTGTGCAGGGGGACGTGAGGGAGGAGCACGGGATGGTGTGTGTGAGTGCACTCACACGCGTGTGCAAGGGCCTCGCACGGGCGCAGGTGTGGGAGGGCGTGCTCACCCAAGTGCGTGCGAGCACATGTGCAGGCGTGCAAAGGCACAGTGCACCAAGGGGTGCGCGGGGGGAGGGGGGAGTGTGCAGAAAGGCCATGAGGGTATGTGCAAACACATGTGGGTGTACGTGTGCTTGTGCAAGGCCCGTGCACGAGCTGAGGGGCGGGTTGGCACACGCACAGCCACAGGCAGGTGAGGGCACACGTGTGTGAGCACACGCGGAGCAGGGCTGTGTCGGGGCGGTGTGTGAGGGTGTGCGGGGGGTGTGAGGGGGCGTGCGGGGGCGTGCGGGGGGGATGCGGGGGGGATGTGGGGGGTGTGGGGGTGTGTGGGGGGCGTGCGGGGGGCCCACTCACCCACTCCTGGCCGTAGGAGTCCTCCAGGTCGTTGGTGGAGCGGTCGTCCCAGGCCAGGCGGATGCCCACCAGCGTGCCGGGCAGGAACCCGTTCTCCGCCAGGATCACGAAGTAGGTGAAGAACCCGCCCAGCGCCTGGATCATCCCTGCAGGGCGCAGCACCCGGGGGGGGATCGGCACCCGGGGGGGGGGATCGGCACCCGGGGGGGGGGGATTGGCACCCCGGGGGGGGGATCGGCACCCGGGGGGGGGGATCGGCACCCCAGGGTGGGGGATCGGCACCCGGGGGGGGGGATCGGCACCCGGGGGGGGGGATTGGCACCCTGGGATCTGGGATCAGCACCCCAGGGTGGGGGATCAGCACCCTAGGATCAGGGATCGGCACCCCGGGATTGGGGATTGGCACCCAGGGGGGGGGAATCGGCACCCGGCGGGGGGGATCGGCACCCCGGGATCAGGGATCGGCACCCCAGGGTGGGGGATCAGCACCCAGGGGGGGGGATCGGCACCCCGGGATCAGGGATGGGCACCCTGGGATCTGGGATCAGCACCCTGGGACTGGGGATCGGCACCCCGGGACTGGGGATCGGCACCCCGGGATCAGGGATGGGCACCCCGAGATCAGCCCCCCAAGGGCCACTGGGCTGTGGGATCAGGGCATGGCTACTCAGGGCACAGTCCGGTGCCACCCGCTGTGCTGGGGTCACTGGTGGGTGCTCCACTATCACCAGTGGGTGCCCAGGGGTCACACGGGGCGCTGGCTGCCACCCTGGTATCACCAGTAGGTGCTGGGGTGCCCCTGACACCCCGAGCGGGTGCCCTGGTCTCTCTAGCGGGATCCCGGGGGGGCCGCACTGTGCCTGATGCCAGCTGGGGGGATGTCCCCTGGTATCCCTAGTGGGGGCTGGGGTGCCCCCGGTGTCGGCGGCCCCCACTGCCCCCCTCACCGATCTGCCCGTAGGCCATGCTGATGAGCCGCTCGTTCACCAGTTTGTCGGTCCGGGGGTTCCTGGGCTGGCGCTTCATGATGTCGCTCTCGGCCGCCTCGTAGGCCAGCGAGATGGCGGGGACCTGGGGGGGGCGGCGGTCTGTCACCTCCTGCCACCCCCGGCCCCCCCCCGGCCCCTGCCCCCGGCCCCATCCTCACCATGTCGGTGCCCAGGTCGATGCAGAGGATGGTGACAGTGCCCAGGGGCAGGGGGATGTTGGCGATGATGAAGAGGAGGAAGGGGGTGATCTCGGGGATGTTGCTGG